ACACACACACACACACAAGATATCACACAGCCAAACTGATGATACACTTTGGCGACAGAGAGAGACCAGCAGAGACAAGCCCAGTATAAGAAAAATCAACGCGTTAACCACTTGCACGTCACTTTATGGAATGAAACGTAAAATAAATGAGCAACTCTCGTCACATGCTAACCGAAGATGTAATAGCATGAATACAGTACATACTCCCACTGACCTTGTGCTGTAATGGCATACTGCTACTGATCCAACATACAGAATGAGACAGAGAGGGTGCATGGGATATCTGTCATCTATTGGTAATCCACAGCAGATTTCAGCCCCCCCACTGACAGGTGTCTTTGTCTCCGTCTGGCCCTATTCTGTGTGTGAGTGTATGTGTGGGTGGCTAAGAAGAGATCTGAGTATATAGAACTGCAACCCCTTGTACATGGACATGCACAAATTAAAAGATCTTGAACATGAAATGTCACCATTAGTTACTATTTTTGGCTATAATCAATATTATTTTATAATATATATTTTTTTATATGCTGCTGTTTATCTATCCGGCCAGTTTATCTATCCGGCCAGCAAAGTCATTTTCAAAGTGTTGTCTGTTCTAAAGCGCCCTTTGGGCTTACCTCCTGTATTCCAGTAAAAAGTAATGGGACTACAAGAAGAGAATGACTAGAAGAAATTATCTGCATACTGTTCCAAGAAACCTAGTTTTCCACAAGGATAAGAGGATATTCAACAATATTAAACCGTGCATACGTTTTTCCAACCTGCTTTGATTTACCAATTCTGTTTGGTTACCGTGCAGCCAAATAAAATTCCCTCTCGCCAGCCTGACCCTACTTAACACCAATTATGAAACATCCAGACGCTTCTCTCCTCTGCTCCTCCTCTTCTTTTTTTCTTCCCCTTATTCCTTTTATATAGCCATGTCATTCCTTCTTTTCCCAAGCCAATTTCTTCCACCAATCACTTTCTTTTCCTCCTCAGCACTCAGCAAAACAAAGACAACAGAGTGATGTTTGCAGAGCAAATTTCAAAGTATATATAATTTTTCCTCCCCCTTGACATTATGTTTTCAAAGTTACACTACAAAACGCCCCATCTACTGTGGTATAGTCTGCTGAGAGTCTGTTTTGCGATGAGGGTTTTGAGAGAAGCAAGTGATCAGTGTGATGTATTCAGGAAACTCCTGGGTAAGTAGCATCTTGTAGAGTACTCACAACACCTCTCAAGCTGACAGACAGGTGGAAGGATGGGGGACTGGATAAAAGATTGTTAGATAAAACCTCTTCAGCCTGGTGATTTGTGTCAGAGGGCACTTGTCTGTCAGTGGCACTACATGCAGAAGTATCAGAGAAAACCCAGGCAAGGACTGTGAAGGCTGTATGTGTACGTGCTTGCGTTTACATCTGCAAACAGCAGCATACTGTGCGTGTACATATACATTTTGTGTGTATTCCTGAGTCTGTGTCTGCTTATTTCCTCCATGCATGCTGCTTCTTCGCTTCCTCCAGCATCGGTATCGGAGAGGGATCTAAGAATCAGCCCAGGGCTCCAAGGTAGCTGTCTAGATTGAATTTCAAATCAATGTTACGCAAGTTGTGTTCTAGCCTCAGCTATTTTCAACACACAGGGTGAGGCACCGCCAGGAGGGAAAGGCAAGTTATCTGCCTGTGTGGGAAGCAGTATGGGCGATATTATCATAAGAATGCTGGGAAAAAGACTTGACTCGAGGAAGATGGATGATGGCCTCAGTCAGTGCTTCAATTTCAAAGTTATTAGATACTCATGAGGTGGGAGAGAGTGTGGAATTAATATTACGACTGAGCAAGATTATCAGCTTTCTGCTGCGTGAAGTATTCAGTATGTGCAAGAGTAGAGGTGCAAATATCTATTGATTGATCAGAGTAGATCCCCTGGGGAGTCATGAAGTTATGATAGTTACTGAATTATGATTTTATACATTTTGAACCATTATGGTGGAAATGTATTCTACATTACGCGGGGATTCGTCCCTCATAGATCAGAAACTTTACACCATTGAAAATTCTCAATTCCTACTGGCTGGCAGGTGTGGATTAACTTTTAATAACTGCACAGTATAACTGGACACCAGAGGTACATGCTTGTTTTTTCAGCTTCAAATGAAAGTGGCATTATTAAAACTGCAGGTAAAAACATAAAGAGTGAGCCTTAACTAAAGGAAAGAGCTAGAGTAGTTTGTGTAACCACCAACAACTGAAAAATTTGCATAAATAGCTACTCAGTGAGAATTATGCTAATTCAATTTGAAATGTTCTTCATATTTCCGTGAATCACAACATCCACATAAACAAATGGTAAGAGGAGGAAAGAAGACTTAAAAAGAGGACCTAAATAACGTTATGTAACGTTAGAGACAGCTGCAGGGGAAAGGAGAGAGAAGTGGAGAGGAAATGCGAGCAAAACTTTTAATAATATTGTGTGGCAGAATGCAGCGCTGTTCTCTGTTCTTGAGCTTTGGAACCA